CCCCCCCCCCCCCCACTGTTTCCACCTCCCCACCCTCCTGCTAAATTATGATCAGTCCCTAACTTTGCAATATTGGCTGGAATGTCGAGTCTCTATGTCCAAGATTGTAGAATACTGGCAACGCTTCTGGGAACCTTATCCTCGACATTTTCCCCTCGAGTCTCGAGCAAGGCAAAGCCTTTGCGGAAATGAAACATGCAGCACAGCATGTAAACAACAAGGTCGAGTAAAAATACATTTTTGTTGTGATTAGCTTAGCTTCGAAATGCCAGGAATTTGACTTAAACTAATATGATGTTGACAGTTGAAAGAGCAATTCCCTGGTAAAGCTGGATATTTTAGATTTTGAAATATGATATATTTCACCCTCATATTTACTTAATGTATTTCCAACAATTCATATTAATGGGTTTCCAACAACATCTCATATTCATAGTTTAATAATGCAAAGAATGACACAGTGGTCAGTGTATATGCTAGCTTTCGTCTCTGTGACTAAGGTTTTATTCCTGCAATATACAGTTGTCTCATCATATTAATTTCACCTCAGTCACATGTGAGAAGAGTGCTTCCAGTTTGACTCTACCAAACACTACAGATTTCCCAGAGGACTAATTAAGAGATGACTCTTACTGGACCTCTAGGCAGAACCTTTTAGAACTAATAGAGCTATCCAGTATAAATAAAGTTAGTTTAGTTTAGGTTTCCTCCTGTAGTAACACTGGATCAATAAGAGATCGATGATCCTTACTGGACCTCTAGGCAGAACATTTTAGAACGAATAAAGCTATCCAGTATAATCTTTAATCCCACCAACCTTGGTAACTTCGGGGATTGTTTTGATCTTCTGTGATCTCCTTTTCAGAAACTTCTTTTCCTTTTTGAAACTCTCTATACCAAGATGGGACATTGCTTCGAGTCGTTGGCTTCTCTCTGATAACAAAATAGAAAAATTTAGTTAGCAAGGAAGGTTCCTTTTAGATATAACATCATTTTTGTAGGCCAGGTGGCTCATCAGTTGGGAGGAAATATCTGATTTCTGTTGTCTAAATCCCACGATGAGACAAAATTCCATTTCAATTTTTTCAATTATTCTCAGTACAAGACTGTCAAGACAAGTACTACGGCAGTATGTCTGCATTCAGATCTAACAATGCTTAACTCAACATTGAGAGTTTTGTACAACATCAGATCACTTTATGATGGCCCAAATTCAAGAAATTGTACTACCTCTGCATGATCTAACCAGTAAATTTTAAACCTAAATTTTAAACCTAAATTTTAAACCTAATTTTTAAACCTAAATTTTAAACCTAAATTTTAAACCTAAATTTTAAACCTAAATTTTAAACCTACATTTTAAACCTACATTTTAAACATACATTTTAAACCTAAATTTTAAACCTAAAGTTTAAAGTGCTTAACTCGGCATTGAGTTCTGTACAACATCAGATCACTTTAAGGTAGCCCACATTCAAGAGCATGTACTACCGTTGTATGCTCTAACCATGCTTAACTACTCAGCAGTAAGTTCTGTACAACATCAGATCACAATCAAGAACACGAATACTACAGCTGCCTATTTTAAACTCATTAGTGAGTTCTGAATAACATCAGATCATATGAAGGTGGAAACCTAATGAAAACCATGTATTTTGATACCTTCAGATTTGGAAATTGTTATCCTCTAAACCTAACATTGAATCAAATACTACACTAACAGTATATAGCAAGCCTTGAGAGAACTAGTACACACAGACACTCGTGTTGAGCGTAGATGAAATATCAAACCAAAACAAATCAAGCACTTATCACGTTATCTTAATTAACATAATTAAATCAACTTACGAGAAATACATGGTTGATAACATAGCACAATACTCTTAATGTTTCCTCAGTAATAAAGATAATATAAAATTATAAACACAATCTTTTTTCGCCTTCATTCAACAAAGCAACGCAATGGCACGTAACAGTTGCCAAATTTCACAAGAACACTTATAAGCATGTATTTCAACACCAAAATGGACAAGGATTAATATCAGTTATGCATTAGTGGGCGGATATAAAACACCGCAAAGTATGAAATGGCGTGTGAACAAGGAATTTGTATCGGATTGTTCAAACGTCAGAAACTGGCCGAGAATTCGATGTAGGATGCGAATTCGGTGACCGATAAGGCGATAACCAAACTGCCTTCTCTGTGAATTTTAAACTGTTCTCCCAAAAGGCTTTCCCTTCATTGATCCAGTGTTACAAAAAGAAAATCTGGACTCTCTATACTGGAAGTTCTATCAGTTCTAAACTGTTTTCCGTGAATGTGTGGTTACGAACCATCGTTTATTTTGGTCCAGTGTTACTGCAGGAGAAAACCTACGGTGTTTGGTAGAGTCAAACTGGAAGCACTCTTCTCCCATGTGACTGAGATGAAATTATAATCAGGCAACTGTATTTTGCAGGAATCTAGGCACATGCAAAGGTCAACGACACATGTGATAATGCACTAACCAACATGCCACCAACAACGCTAAACCTAACATCACAGCCAACTGGTAGCTTATCAAATAAAGACCAACCTACCTTCCTGTTTACCTAGCTACCTATTGAAGTGTGATATTTGGGTCATTTTGAGAAGAAATGTCACGCATCTTCATAGTAAGAAACCTCATCTTCATCAACTTTTTTACTGTCAGTGTTTCCGGATGTGACGTTATTAGATGAATTTTGGCAGCAAAAACAAAGGAAGACTAGTTTGCAATTCATTTTAATTCCGGAAACTTTGACATCAGGTTTTTACAATAAAGATATATTGCATTTGTAGAATGACCCAAATATTACACATACCGAAAATTATTTTGTGGGTAAGTGGTACTTTAAAGCTACGATACAACGAGGCTGAGAGTTGATGAGAGTTGGTAGTCACGCATTGTTACAGGGGGCATTTCAAGCTCTAGATTAACAAAATAAAGGTTTGATGAATGTTCCAACTATGTTTAAACTTAAATAACATACATGATAGTGTTGGGAAAGCATTAAGAACAGCTAACAAAGCTCGCGTGACTGTCAACTATCATGCACTCTCATCCTCGTTTTATCCATTTAACTATATCATTAATATTTCTAATAGCTTATATGGACCTATTACCTAATGAACAAAATTTTGATCTAGACAAGTCTAGACAAAAATTTTATCACAGCTTGAAAGAGCATCACAAAATTAGTATTCCGAAGTGTCGTTGCGAAATGTTGTAAAATGCGGATAATATAGCCCTTCGAAGTTTGCCGTTTTTCAGTCATTTTGTATTACGCACGGGAAGATACCGCTTTCTGAAAAATGGTATCAATTTCCCGTGCGTAATACAAAATGACTGAAAAACGGCAAACTTCGCAAGGCTATATTATCCGCATTTTACAACATTTCGCAATGAAACTTCGGAATATTACTAATTTTGTGATGCTCTTTCAAGCTGTGGTGAAAAAATCAAAATTTTGTTCAGTAAAGAATAGGTCCATTCACTCCATTGCGCTCAACTAATATTCATTACCTCATTTTTACTCCGGCAGTGGAAGGCGGGAATGACGTCATTGAATGTCTATTCGACTGGTTACTTTCTATATTCGCCTGAGGACGTGAGAATCGACCAGAGCTTATAGGATCAGCATGGGTTTCCTGTGTTTTGGTCGAGCGTAGTCCAGCTTCCTGGGCCGAGGTCGAGCGGTCACGGTAACTTTTGAACAGACCGCGGGCGTCGTTCTTCGCAGGAGGCGACACATCGCCCGCGAGCAACGAGGATAGGCCAGTGGAATCTATAAAACAAGGTGGGTTACTTTTCGTGTTGGTTATTGGATTCACCTCTGATACCTAATTTCGCCTCGGTCGAAACAGTTCAGAACTGATAGAGTTATCCAGTATAAATAAAGTTAGTTTAGTTTAGGTTTCCTCCTGTAGTAACACTGGATCAATAAGAGATGGTCCTTACTGGACCTCTAGGAAGAACAGTTTATAACTGATAGAGCTATCCAGTATAAATAAAGTTAGTTTAGTTTAGGTTTCCTCCTGTAGTAACACTGGATCAATAAGAGATGATCCTTACTGGACTTCAAGGGAGTACAGTTTAGAACTGGTAGAACTATCCAGTATAAATAAAGTTAGTTTAGTTTAGGTTTCCTCCAATCCTTACTGGACCTCTAGGAAGAACAGTTTAGAACTGATAGAACTATCCAGTATAAATAAAGTTAGTTTAGGTTTCCTCTAGCCTGCGAGCAGGCTCTCTGGGGAAAGAGAGCCTGCAAGGATCCCTATGATGATTCGGTGCATGCGTCCAATATTTGGACGCAGTGCTCTGATTGGTTGATAACTGATTCATATGAAGTGATTGACAAGCTTCCATAAACTTGCACTTCCTGTTTGTAAAACCGAGCAATGCAAAGCTTCGGAATTGCGGCAATGTAGAGATAAGAGTGTCATGTATTTTGATCCTGGTTGACTTTTTACTGTAAATTAATATAGTATTCATATAAAGACGAATACTAAAAGCTTGCATGCTTTATTGTGTCCTTGGCTTGTCTGACTCCTAAGCTAAGAATAATTCTTGAGAAAGACTGCACAAATTCGCAAACCGAAACCTAGGGACAAGGCATTATATCGCTTCTCTTTTATGAAACAATATTGGGAATTCTGATAATATTCAGTGCATATGGCTTACTGTGTGTATTAAGCTTGTTTTACAATGTTATACTGACTATTTAATATTTATAAGTATGCGGCGTTAAAATGTACAGTAATTTACTCGTCACTTTGTTTACAATAATTATCACATGCATGTTTACTGCAATTCCACTTTTTGTTGCAAAATTTGATCTATAAACATATTATTAAATTATGTCCAATGTCCATGGTATATCATATATGTCTATGTCTCACCAAAGCCATAAATTTCAGTAAGTTATATTATTACTATATATAGACTGTATACAGTGTATATTATATATTGCAGCACGAAGCAATTCCAAATAACTGAATTAGTTAGCGGGTAATATACAACTTAAAACTTACTGTGCCTACAGGAGAAACACATGCAGATTGTAATAAAAAGTACAACTTGATATATTACTCTGTAAAACCTCGAGCCGTTTTAACTTTTTAGTATGCCACAGTGGCGGTCTGTATACGAAACTATTAACGAATTTGAAACGAATCGGTTTATGTTTACAATATCGTAGTGTATTCCGGTCTGCGCTGATTGGTTGTTATTAATTGACCTGTGACATCATAATTGAAGGGCGGCACGCAATCATCATAGGGATCCTTGCAGGCTCTCTTTCCCCAGAGAGCCTGCTCGCAGGCTAGTGTCAGATATGCAATGCTGGCAATTATGTCTATCTGGACAACAGGCAAGAAATTGCTTGGAAAAATTACATTCACTATACCAAATATATAAAATGACTAAAAATCCAGTTGATAAACACAGATAGACACATTAATAACCGCAGTATTAAACCAAACTATTCAACCAGCACACAAGACATACTTCAATTCCACAACCTAAATGCGAAGAAAACAACAAACAATGACAAGATAGAGGCAAATTTCCTACCGAATTCTGCAAATTTCCCAGCAACTTTGAGGCAGCTTCTTTTCTTTCGGTACCTTCATTGTTTAGCGCGTCAATAGTTTGCGCGTCAATAGTTTGTAAAACCTGCTCAATGCAGGGTTTTTTCATTGGTAATTTGGTACTGTGTCTGACTTGGAGGATTATTTTAAACGCATGCAAGTGAATAGTGATGGCAGTGTGACCAGATATTTTGCAAGGCAATTACTAAATAAGCAAGCAAAAAATTACCAAAACGTAGAAAAAATTACTAACTTTTTCTGCTGTCAACCAAAGTGGTCTGAAAATCAGTAAAACATCTCAGTAAAACAAAATCAGTAAAACGCTTTTCATCACTAAAACAATGTTTTTTTCCCATGTTTTTCTTTATCACTTGTACTTTTTGATTGAATTTGTGCAAAATGCAAATATGGCGCTGTGACAATCGGGCCCGGGCCTCCGGGTCCCTAGCCCGCAATCAAAATAGGATGAGTGGTGATCAGCAGGATTCCGTTGATTCAGCTGGACAGCTTGGGTTAGCAGCTTGCAATTTGGATGTACAGCTTTGCAGGCATGTAACTGCAACTGTTTTCACTGAATTTTTTAATCAGGTTGTGTCATTATGGCGTATTTGGTTGAATTTCATGCAATAACCAAAATATTACTAAACTTTGAGAGAAATTACTAAAAAAATTACCAAACATTTTCAATTACCAAAAAAGTCCGAAAAATCGCGAAATATTACCAAAAGTAATTAAAATTACCAAATCTGGCCACACTGAGTGATGGGCGATTATATAACATGTATATAACGCGTATTCTGATTGGTCGAAAGCCGTGTTTGGATCAGGCCATCCAAACACGGAAGACTACCGTGTTGTTGTTATTTTATAAAACAATTACTTTATGGTTTCCGTGTTTGGATGGACTGATCCAAACACTTGGGAATGTTGCTCGACGGCTCGTGATTTCGCTCGCTTTTCTTAACTCTCGCAACATTCCCGCGTGTTTGGATCAGGCCATCCAAACACGGAAACCATAAAGTAATTGTATAATAATTACAAAGTGACTATATGACCGGCAGCCGGTCACAGTTTATCAAATACTAAATGGCCGGCAGTCTAGTGACTATAGTTGAATATAAAAACTTTTGTTTGCACTAGGTTTAACCGAGCTTGCCGTTAGCTCATGGTAATTGCTAGATAGTATACTTCAAAATAAGATTTCCGTATTTATAACGTAGAAAAAACCATCCTAACACAAATCTAAACCCTAACCCTAATACTAACCTTAACCCTAACCCTAACCCCAACCCTAACCTAACCCTAACCTAACCTTAACTTATTTTAAAAAATGATATAAAAACGGAAATCTTATTTTGAAGTATACTATCTAGCAATTTCCGTTAGCTCATACGGCAAGGGCGCTGCGTGCGGAAAGTTAAACGCAGTCGGGGTCGGGATTTGTTTTGTCCATAGATATTTTGTCTGACTTAGCATTGTTTTTTCTTAAAATTTTTTAAACTTTTTTTCCCGACTTTTCTAACTCTCAAAAGGTTAGGGTTAGGGGTAAGGGGTTAGGGTTAGAAAAGGGTTTGGGTTTGGGGATAGGTTTATCTTATAAAAATTAAACTTTAACAATAGTCACTAGACTGCCGGCCATTTAGTATTTGATAAACCGTGACCGGCTGCCGGTCCAATCTCGTTCCCCGAGCCTGCGATCCTCGGGAAGGAATCGAAGGCTCTGGGATAATCCGTTACCGGAAGCCAAGAATCCTGGCTAGATTGAACTACGCATTCCATTTCAATGGCCAATCAGATTCCTCCCTGAAACGGATTATCCCAGAGCCTCGCGTTCCTTCCCGAGGATCGCAGGCTCGGGGAACGAGATTGCTGCCGGTCATATAGTCACTTCGTTATAATTATTATATGGACGATGCAGCCTAGTCCCCAGTCTCACGAGATGGCCTAGTCCCTGGCCTTCCAAGCGCGGGCGAGTTAAAGGCTGTCGTGAACTTGCGGGCTACCGGCTTCGGAAATACAGCTTTATCCCGGTCAACCTGCGAACCTTGTCAATTTCCCCCTAAAATAATGAGGCGGAAGCGAGAAGGTCAGGAACTAGGCTGTGGACAATGGTGTTCTACTGGAAACCAGAACACTCGTAGAACTCATACGTCACTACATCCGGGGCCAGGTGCGCGTATTTCACCCACTCAACTATAATATATGTGGGCTCTGGGTACGAGAATGCAAATTTCCTTTGAAAATTTACGAAATTTTACCTTTTACCAAATCTGGTCACACTGCCTGCAATGGGCCTGTTGTTCGCGCCGTATTTAATTTTAGAGGTCAAGTGGATCCACTGATCTCTAAAGTGCAAGCTGGAATGTCCCTTTAACAAATCTGATGAGATTCAGGATGGTTCCAGTTACAAAAACCGAATGAGAGGCGGTTTATGATCTTGATCCTGGAAATCTCGTTACGTTAGAGAAATCCGAACCTATACTGAACTCAAGATTCTAGGAATTTCCTTCCACTATTCACACCTGAAAAAATTCATGAAAAATTCCTTAAGACAAAGATTGAAAAAATCTCCCAGTGACTATCTCCGCCACAAGTTTAAAACTCTCAGAGCCACAATCAAGCTTATGATAAAAATCAGCCGATCCAACTACATTTCCTCTCTCTGCACAAACATCCAAACCAATTCCAAACGTTTCTGGTCACTATTTAAACTAAAAGGCGCAACACGTTCTGTCCCGGAAAAAATTTCAATAAAAACAAGTGTCAACAATGTTCGTGAGTATGCCGAGAATCCTAGGGACATCGCAACACTTTTCAACCGCTACTTTGTATCAATCTTCTCGAGTGATCCTATCAATATTGTTAATCAACAATCTATATCCGAAACCACTGACACTATTTTTAATGACATTGTTTTGTCGGAAGGAACAGTGCGCTCAGTTTTAAGAAATCTTGATAAGAACAAAGCGCACGGTCCGGATGAAATCCCAGCAAGATTACTTACCGAAACTGCATACCAAATCGCTCCATCTCTATGCCTTCTGTTTAACAAGTCCTTAAAAAGTGGACTAGTTCCTCGAGAATGGAAACTTGCCAATGTTGTACCCATCCACAAAAAGGGGGATAAAGATCATGTAGAAAACTATCGGCCAATTTCTCTTCTCTCACTTGTCTCCAAAGTCTTAGAGCGTTGCGTGTTCATTAGTATCAAAGAACATGCTTTCAGTCAAATAAATTCTTGCCAACATGGCTTCATTTCAGGAAAATCATGCGTGACACAACTAATTGAAGTTTTAGATACCATCGGCAGCCAATTAGATCTCGGAAAGCAGATTGATGTGATCTACCTGGATATGTCAAAAGCATTTGATAAGGTTAGTCACGTACGTCTTCTACATCGTCTCAGAGAATTTGGATTCGGAGGAAATCTCTTAATGTGGTTTAATTCTTACTTGAAAAATCGCCAACAACAAACTACTTGTTCTCGGTGCAACATCGACAGCACCACCAGTAACATCCGGAGTACCACAAGGTTCCATTCTTGGCCCGCTACTTTTCCTCTTATATACCAATGATCTATCCTCTTCCATCGTGAATTCGAACGTAGCAGCTTTCGCTGATGACACTAAGATTTTTAAAGTGATTAACTCCAGGACCGATGCAATGTTATTACAAAATGATCTTCTCAATCAAAATGTAAAACCCTCCAGGTCACCAGGAAACACAACAAAATAGATTTCCCTTATCAACTACAAGATACCATACTAGAAAAGACTGATTGCGAACGCGATTTAGGTGTATGGACGAATTATGATCTCACTTGGTCAAAGCAAGTTACACAACAAAGTAACAAAGCTAATAAAATGCTGGGTTATATTCGAAGATCAACTTTCAATATTCGCGAGTTTGCAATTCGACGAACACTGTACCTTTCTCTGGTTCGCTCACACTTAGGATATGCCACCCAAGTATGGGCGCCCCAAACAGTTGAGTTGGTGAAAAGAGTAGAACGAGTTCAGAGGAGTGCAACTAAATATATTTTAAATGTTCCCTTTATTTGTGATACAGAATATAGAGACAGACTCCTTGCAACCAGTTTGCTCCCTCTCAGCTACTGGCACGAATACCTGGATGTAGTATTCTTCTATAAGGCAAATCACGACATTTTTAATATTGATAAAAAAATTCTTCCATTTCCTCAACCTCAGGGTCAAAGACAGACAAGATCATTTAATCCCAACTCGAACAAATATAAAATTCCGACATACAAGACGTCAACCTATGAAAAATCTTACAAAATCCGAACATCAAGAATATGGAACACACTACCCAATTATATTACATCCAAAGACCTAACATTTTCAGAATTCAAGAATCTTCTTTTTAAGTACTATATTTTAGCATTGGAAAATACATACGATGTTGAGGATCCCCGAACATGGAAAAGTGTGTGTATAAAATGTAATTCCGCTCGAAGTTTAATGAACTCTCCATTGACATGCTGCTTTTAGACAAATGTAATGACTGTTGTTCAAGTATTGTCTGTTGTGCGTGTTTCGTATACCTTGTAAATTGTTTCTGTATAACTATTGGGGCCGCTGTAATTGACAATAGCTGTTGTGGTTTCCCAGCCAATGAATGTATAAGTATGATGGCAAAGTAAATAAATAAATAAATAAATAACTGAACTGTATCTCACTCAGTATCTGAACTCAGACTTTTATTTTAACCTGAACTCAGACTTTTATTTTAACCTGAACTCAGACTGGACTCATCAACCTATTCAATCCAATTATCAGCATTTTGGGTATCTATACTCGATATACTAATTATCTGTACTCAATATACTAATTATCTGTACTCAATATACTAATTATCTGCATTCGATATACTAATTATCTATACTCGATATACTAATTGTAATTGGCTTTATTGATGATATTTCTGTTGTGAATTTTTTACATTTATTTGACAAATTAACACAGGAAATCTCCATCAACTAAAACCATTTACTATTTAGTCTGAACTTTTTACCTTTCTACTCGAAACTCAACTTTTACTCTGAACTGTGTAATTAAAACAAAAACAGGTTTTGTGCGAATAATTTATTACACATTAAGTCATTTAAATAACAATAATTTGCTCGCTTATTAATTAACAATTTTGACATTCAATGTCTTTGTCATTGTATGTTGCAAATTAAGCTGCATGCGTATAGAGAATACAAACAGACAAGTAGAACAGAATGTATGAACAATAAATACAACAAGATAGGCCACCGTCCTCTTGTCTGACCACACAATAGGCGAGCTAGCAAACCACTAAAAATACAAAGATACAACAAATCAACACACAGATTGACACACCCATAGTGTCAAAACAAACTCAACCATAATGTAGAATGATATTGGATCCCCGTTGACTCGATACTTCAATGGGTAGAGCAAATTCTGCTCAAGACAACAAATATCTTGCTGTACTATGCCACAAAGTGAGGTCCCACTTCAGGTTAATTTAGCGTCAGTTCGCCATCTTTATTCTTGATTTTTCAGTTCAAGAATACAAATGTTCACGACGAGTGACAAGCGAGACAGCGTTCACGTACTGTGCTGAATGCACATTAGAGAGATAATTGGATGTATTAATGGATACTTACAGGCGTTGATTTAACCGAATAGACTGCAGGGAATCCTTTCAGCGGGATTGTCCTTCGTCTGAGATGTTAGCCACCATCCTGAAGAAATGGAAGAAAAATATGCAGAAATTCGTGTATGTGACAAAAAACCTTCTGGTCAAATTAGGTTGAAGTTCATTTTTGTCACCAATAATGTACGACTTACATCTCTTCAATGATGTTGTCCTTCAAGTAAACTTTAAACTCTTTATGGAGACTTCTTTCGTCTCCTAATGTTTCTTTTAAACAAAGCAAGAAAATATTTATAGAATCATTTCCTGCAGAAATAAAGTGCTTTCAACTTGCAGATAGTGATAAATGTTGTCCAAGTTGAATAGTTTAACGATAACTCACCTCTAATTCAGAAAGTTGTACGTGGCACACAGCACCATGGACTTGCAATATCCAGACATTTTCTAGTACAAGAAATATAATTGAAGTAGAGTTGTGGTTGGTTGTCTCCTGCACTTTAAAACAGCATTTTGTCTCCGCGTACTACACTTTTTCTTCCTCGCCAAGCGAGACAGATCCCCAGCAAACCTCCACAACATTTGCATGAGAATACAGCTCCAACTACTACTGATGATAGCAAACACCAAACCATGAATTCTTAAACTTTTTCTTACCTCATCAAGGTCTTTTTCAAAGTTGTAATATTCTTGTCATCATTCCCCTGTAAATCTTGACTTCAGTTCTCGATTTCGTAGATGAAACTGTATTCCTCCTTGCGTTCCAGTTTTCAAATATTTAATGCTTCCAGTTAATAGTTTAACGATAACTCACATCTAATTCAGAAAGTTCCAGGTTCTACAACAGTATTGACATGTACTATCCAGACATTCTCTAGTACAAGAAATATGATTCAAATACTTAGATTGTGGCTTGATACAGTTTGTAAGTGACATATCGTATAATTCCTCTCTTTTGACACACAAAACAAAACCTACAATTAGCAATTCGGTTTCATTTGGTGTGTCGAAAGAGCGAAATTAGACAACATGTCATATATACGAACTGTTTGAAATTATATAACTCTTTCCTTGTTTCAGAGAACAAAATTGTCAATAGTTGTGGTTGGTTGTCTGGTGCATTTTGAAACAATTTTCTGTCCAGGTACTACAGTTTTCCTGCTTCGCCAAGCGAGAAAGACCTCTAGAACCCTCCATAAAGTTTGAGGATTCAGCACCAAGTCCCGATGATAGCAAACACCAAACCATGAATTTTTAAACTTTTTCTTACCTTACTTCATCAAGGTTTTTTCAAAGTTGTAATAGTCTTGCAGTTCTTGATTTTGTAGATCATACTGTATTTCTCCTTGCATTCCAGTTTTCAAGTATTTAATGTATCCAGTTTCTCCCATTGGTCACTCATTAACTTATCTCGGCTGTCAAAGGCGTCAAACTCCGGCCGTAAGGTATTGGAAGTATCTGCATTCTCTACTTTAACACCTGTCCTTGTAGCTTAAGATGAGGTCAATTTTCCTCATATTGTTTTAAAGTTTCTTCGTTTTTTGGTTGTTGAAGTTTTCATCTTGTTATATAAGTCAACATTCATTTGAAGGTAGATGCTCTCATCTTGAACGTCGAGACAACAACCACAGCCCAGTAAAGATGTCGGCCTTCACCTGTCTGAAAAGTAAAGTATTAAAGAATTATTTCACCCTGAATAAACCATGAAGAATTTCCCAAGAAGGCAAAATCAGGCAATAATAGCTTGAGTTAACTGACTATACATGAATAACATGAAGTATTAATGAGTACTTACGGGCATTGATATTGCTGAATCATAGAGTGCAGTGAATCCTCTCAGCGGAATTGTCCTTCGTCTATAATGTTAATGCCATCCTGAAGAAATGGAAGGAAAATAATTCATTAAAAACACCAAGGCAATGATAACTGTCCTGAAATTCGCGCATCTGATAAAAAATCCTTCGAACCGATTCTCTGATGTCGTTCTTCAAGTAAAATTTAATTCACAGTGTCTTGTTTCCTCTCCTAATGTTTCTTTTAAACAAAACAAGAAAATATTTACAGAGTCATTTCCTGCAGAAATAAAGTGCTTTCAACTTGCAGATAGTGATAAATGTTGTCCAAGTTGAATAGTTTGATGATAACTCACCTTCAGAAAGTTGCAGGTTGCACACTAGCACCATTTGACATGTACTATCCAGACGTTTTCTAATACAAGAAATATAATTGAAGCTCAGTAGAGTTATGGTTGGTTGTCTCCTGCACTTTAAAACAGGATTTTGTCTCTGGGTACTACAGTTTTCCTGCCTCACCATTCGCCAAGCGAGAAAGACCCCTAGCAAACCTCCATAATGTTTGCATAAGAATACAGCTCCAATGATAGGAAACACCAAACCATGAATTAATAAACTTTTTTTCACCTCATCAAGGTCTTTTTCAAAGTTGTAACATTCTTGTCATCATTCCCCTGTAAGTCTTGACTTCAGTTCTTGATTTTGAATATCAAACTGTATTTCTCCTTGCATTCCAGTTTTCACTTGAAGTATTTAATGCGTGCGGTTTCTCCCTTCGGTCACTCATTAACCTATCTCGGCTGTCAAAAGGTGTCAAACTCCAGTCTTAATGTGTTGCAAGTATCTGTATTAACATCCTGTCTTTGTAGCTTTAGAGGAGGTTTCTGTTGTTCACATTGTTTTTAATTCCCGTTGATGTTTTCATCCTTGTTATATAAGTCACATTCATTTGAAGGTGGATGCTCTCATCTTGAATGTCGAGACAACAACCATAGGCCAGTAAAGATGTCGGCCTTCACCTGTCTGGAAAGTAAAGTATTAAAGAATTATTTCACCCTGAATAAACCATGCGGAATACCCAGCAAGAATCACCCTGAAGCATTGCGTTTTCCCGATAATCAATGGATAATCAATAAGAAATGGAAGGAAAATAATCAATTAAATCACCAAGGCGATGATGCATGACCCTACAGAAATTTGTTTATGTGACAAAAATCCATCTGGTCGAATTAGAGTGAAGTTCTTTTTTGTCACCAATAATGTACGACTTACATAGTTACATCTCTTCTCTGATGTTGTTCTTCAAGTAAACTTCAAACTCTTTATGGATTCTTTCTCCTCTCCTGATGTTTCTTTAAAACAAAGGAAGAAAATAATGATAGAATCATTTCCTGCAGAAATAAAGCTCTTTCAACTTGCAGATAGTGATAAATGTTGTCCAAATTGAGTAGTATGTGTAATGATAACTCACCTCTAATTGAGAAAGTTGCAGGTTGCACACCAGCACCATTGACATGTACTATCCAGACATTTTCTAATACAAGAAATATAATTGAAATACTTAGAATTGTGGCTTCATACAGTTTGTAAATTGACATATATCGTATAATTTCTCTCTTTTGACACAAAACCTATAATTAGCAATTAGGTTTTATTTGGTGTATCGAAAGAGAGAAATTAGACGACATGTCATATACAAACTGTTTGAAATTATCAAACTCTTTCCTTGCTTCTGCAAACAAAATTGCAGAGAGTTCTGGTTGGTTGTCTGGTGCATTTTGAAACAGAATTTTCTGTCCGGGAACTGCACTTTTCCTGCCTCGACAAGCGACAAAGACTCCTAGAAAACCTCGATAATGTTTGAGCATTCAGCTCGAAATACTGATGATAGCAAACAGCAAACCATGAATTTTTTAACTTTTTCTTACCTCACTTCATCAAGGTTTTTTCAAAGTTATAATATTCTTCACATCATTCCCCTTTAAGTATTGACTTCAGTTCTTGATTTTGTTGATCAAACTGTATTTCTCCTTGAATTCCAGTTTTCAAGTATTTAATGCTTCAAATTTCTCCTTTTGGTCACTCATTAACTCATCTCGGCTGTCAAAAGGTGTCAAACTCCGGCCGTAAGGTATTAGAAGTATCTGCATTCTCTACTTTAACATCCTGTCCTTGTAGCTTAAGAGGAGATCTTGCTCATATTGTTTAAAGTTTCTTTGTTGTTGAAGTTTTCATCTTGTTATATAAGTCAACATTCATTTGAAGGCGAGATTGCCCTCATCTTGAACATCGAGACAACCACAGCCCAATAAAGATGTCGGCCTTCACCTGTCTGAAAAGTAAAGTATCAAAAAAAATTATTTCACCCTGAATAAACCATGAAGAATTTCCCAAGAATTTCTGAAGGCAAATCAGGCAATAGTAGCTTGAGTTAACTGACTATACATGAATAACATGAAGTATTAATGAGTACTTACGGGCGTTGATATTGCTGAATTAAGTGCAGTGAATCCTCTCAGCGGTATTGTCATTCGTGTAAGATGTTAGCACCATCCTCAAGAAATGGAAGGAAAAGAATTAATTAAAAACACAAACGCAATGATGACCGTGCAGAAAATTCGCGCATCTGATAAAAAATCCTTCGTAATGGAATTAAATTGAAGTTAATTTTTGTCACTACTCCTGTATGTCTTACATCGATTCTCTGATTTCGTTCTTCAAGTAAAATTTAAACTCTTCACAGCGTCTTGTTTCCTCTCCTAAGGTTTCTTTTAAACACAACAAGAAAATATTCACAGAATCATTTCCTGCAGAAATAAGGTGCTTTCAACTTGCATAGTGATAAATGTTGTCCAAGTTGAATAGTTTAACAATAACTCACCTCTAATTCAGAAAGTTGTACGTTTGTTTCCTCACATTAGCACCATTGACATATCGATTTAACATACAAATAATGAATAGCATGAATACTGAAAGAACATTTCAAATTTATATGAATGTCAGAGTAAACCACGAAGGAAGTCAACATCGTTGGCCTGACACCAAGCCAATGACAATTATCTGATCGTACCATAATGCTTCTCAGATTTTGAAACAAATTATCAATGAGCAACATAAGACGGAAGAAAGTTCTTCAATCTTTAATATCCTAAAGAAATATCACTGATACTGGGAATTAAAATGTGGTTTGTTGTCTCCGGCATTCTTAATGACGATTTTGTTCTGGATACTCCAGTTTTCCTGCCTCGCCAAACGACAAAAACCCCTAGTAAACCTCGATAACATACTACGAATTTTTTTTTAACTTTTTCTTACCTCATCAACATGGTCTTGTTCAAAGTAATATTCCTGTCGTCATTCCCCTTTAAGTCTTGACTTCAGTTCTTGATTTTGTAGCTCATACTCAATTTCTCCTTGCATCCCAGATTTCAAGTATCCAACGCTTCCAGTTTCTCCTTTAGTTATTCATTGACTTATCTCGGCTGTCAAAGGTATCAAACTCCAGTGTTAATGTGTTGCAAGTATCTGCATTCTCTGTTTTAGAATAACGTCTTTGTAGCTTTAGAGGTTTCTCTTTAGAATTTTCCTTATTGAAAACTCTCTGAACGATTCTTTTTTATTTCAACTTAGAATTTTCCCAATTGAAAAGTCTCGAATTGTTCCTCAAACGTCCTTGCTGTACGATTTTCTCTCTTTCTGTTTCCCCTGCGGGATTTTATTTGCCCCACCCATTTTTCTAATGGTCCGCCCCAAAGTCAACATGATTTTGAAGGCAAATTCTCTCCTCTTGAACGTCAAGACAACAATCATGGCTCAGTAAAGATGTCGGCCTTCACCTGTCTGAAAAGTATTAAACCATGTGAAATACCCAGCCAGAATCAGCCTGAAGCATTGTATTTTCCCGATAATCCCTCAAGGCAAATCAGCCGACAATAGCTTGAGTTAACTCACTACGCAGAAATAACAAGAGGTATTAATTGAATGGGTACTTACGGGCAATGATTTAACTGAATGGAGTGCAGTCAATAATCCTCTAAGCGGTATTGTCCTTCGTCTAAAATGTCAGCACCATCCTGAAGAAACGGAAATAAAATAATTAATTAAATCACCAATGCGATGAAGCATGACCCTACAGAAATTTGTGTATGTGACAAATATACATCTGGTCGAATTAGGGTGAAGTTCTTTTTTGTCACCAATAATGTACGACTTACATAGTTACATCTCTTCTCTGATGTTGTTCTTCAAGTAAACTTCAAACTCTTTATGGATTCTTTCTCCTCTCCTAATGTTTCTTTAAAACAAAGCAAGAAAAAATATTTATAAAAAAGAGAGAGATTAGACCACTGATGATGTCATATACAAACTGTTTGAAATTATCAAACTCTTTCCTTGCTTCTGCAAACAAAATTGTAGAGAGTTCTGGTTGGTTGTCTGGCGCATTTTCAAACAGAATTTTCTGTCTGGGAACTGCACTTTTCCTGCCTCGACAAGCGACAAAGACTCCTAGAAAACCTCCAAAATGTTTGAGCATTCAGCTCGAAATACTGATGATAACAAACATCAAACCATGAATTTTTAAACTTTTTCTTACCTCACCAAGGTTTTTTTCAAAGTTGTAATAGACTTCTAATCATTCGCGTTTAAGTCTATGGGTACTTCATTTTGTAGATCATACTGTATTTTTCCTTGAATTCCAGCTTTCAAGTATATTTTGCTTCGATTTTCTGCCTTTAGTTATTCATTAACATCTCTCGGCTGTCAAAGGTGTCAAACTCCAGTCTTAATGTGCTGCAAGTATCTGTATTCTCTGTTTTAGAATCATGTCTTTGTAGCTTTGGAGGTTTTGTTGTTCACATTGTTTTTAAATATGTTTGTTCTTTCCTGTGGATATATTCATCTTGTTATATAAGTCAACATTCATTTGAAGATAGATGCTCTCATCTTGAACGTCGAGACAACAACCACATCCCAGTAAGGATGACGGCCTTCACCTGTCTGAAAAGTATTAAAAAATTATTTCACCCTGAATAAACCATGTGAAATACCCAGCCAGATTCAGCCTGAAGCATTGTGTTTTCCCGATAATCCCTCAAGGCAAATCAGCCGACAATAGCTTGAGTTAACTCACTACGCAGAAATAACAAGGGGTATTAATTTAATGGGTACTTACGGGCGATGATTTAACTGAATCGAGTGCAGTCAATAATCCTCTAAGCGGTATTGTCCTTCGTCTAAGATGTCAGCACCATCCTGAAGAAACAGAAATAAAATAATTAATTAAATCACCAATGCGATGAAGCATGACCCTACAGAAATTTGTGTATGTGACAAATATACATCTGGTCGAATTAGGGTGAAGTTCTTTTTTGTCACCAATAATGTATGACTTACATAGTTACATCTCTTCTCGGATGTTGTTCTTCAAGTAAACTTCAAACTCTTTATGGATTCTTTCTCCTCTCCTAATGTTTCTTTAAAACAAAGCAAGAAAATATTTATAAAAAAGTGAGAAAGTAGACAACTGATGATGTCATATACAAACTGTTTGAAAAAATTATCGAACTCTTTCCTTGCTTCTGCAAACAAAATTGTAGAGAGTTCTGGTGGGTTGTCTGGTGCATTTTGAAACAGAATTTTCTGTCTGGGAACTGCACTTTTCCTGCCTCGACAAGCGACAAAGACTCCTAGAAAACCTCCATAATGTTTGAGCATTCAGCTCGAAATACTGATGATAGCAAACAGCAAACCATGAATTTTTAAACTTTTTCTTACCTCATCAAGGTTTTTTTTCAAAGTTGTAATATTCTTGTCATCATTCGCGTTTAAGTCTATCGGTACTTGATTTTGAAGATCATACTGTATTTTTCCTTGAATTCCAGCTTTCAAGTATATTTTGCTTCGATTTTCTGCGTTAGTTATTCATTAACATATCTCGGATGTCAAAGGTGTCAAACTTCAATCTTAATGTGTTGCAAGTATCTGTATTCTCTGTTTTAGAATCATGTCTTTGTAGCTTTGGAGGTTTTTGTTGTTCACATCGTTTTTAAATTTGTTCGATCTTTCCCGTGGATATATTCATCTTGTTATATAAGTCAACATTCATTTGAAGATAGATGCTCTCATCTTGAACGTCGAGACAACAACCACAGCCCAGTAAGGATGACGGCCTTCACCTGTCTGAAAAGTATTAAAGAATTATTTCACCCTGAATAAACCATGTGAAATACCCAGCCAGATTCAGCCTGAAGCATTGTGTTTTCCCGATAATCCCTCAAGGCAAATCAGCCGACAATAGCTTGAGTTAACTCACTACGCAGAAATAACAAGGGGTATTAATTTAATGGGTACTTACGGGCGATGATTTAACTGAATCGAGTGCAGTCAATAATCCTCTAAGCGGTATTGTCCTTCGTCTAAGATGTCAGCACCATCCTGAAGAAACGGAAATAAAATAATTAATTAAATCACCAATGCGATGAAGCATGACCCTACAGAAATTTGTGTATGTGACAAATATACATCTGGTCGAATTAGGGTGAAGTTCTTTTTTGTCACCAATAATGTATGACTTACATAGTTACATCTCTTCTCGGATGTTGTTCTTCAAGTAAACTTCAAACTCTTTATGGATTCTTTCTCCTCTCCTAATGTTTCTTTAAAACAAAGCAAGAAAATATTTATAAAAAAGAAAGTAGACAACTGATGATGTCATATACAAACAGTTTGAAATTATCGAACTCTTTCTTTGCTTCTGCAAACAAAATTGTAGAGAGTTCTGGTTGGTTGTCTGGTGCATTTTGAAACAGAATTTTCTGTCCGGGAACTGCACTTTTCCTGCCTCGACAAGCGACAAAGACTCCTAGAAAACCTCCATAATGTTTGAGCATTCAGCTCGAAATACTGATGATAGCAAACAGCAAACCATGAATTTTTAAACTTTTTCTTACCTTGTCAAGGTTTTTTTTCAAAGTTGTAATATTCTTCTCATCATTCGCGTTTAAGTCTATCGGTACTTGATTTTGAAGATCATAGTGTATTTTTCCTTGAATTCCAGCTTTCAAGTATATTTTGCTTCGATTTTCTGCCTTAGTTATTCATTAACATCTCTCGTCTGTCAAAGGTGTCAAACTCCAGTCTTAATGTGCTGCAAGTATCTGTATTCTCTGTTTTAGAATCATGTCTTTGTAGCTTTGGATGTTTTTGTTGTTCACATGCTTTTAAATTTGTTCGTTCTTTCCCGTGGATATATTCATCTTGTTATATAAGTCAACATTCATTTGAAGATAGATGTTCTCATCTTGAACGTCGACACAACAACAACCACAGCCCAATAAGGATGACGGCCTTCATCTGTCTGAAAAGTATTAAAGAATTATTTCACCTTGAATAAACCATGTGAAATACTCAGCCAGATTCAGCCTGAAGCATTGTGTTTTCCCGATAATCCCTCAAGGCAAATCAGCCGACAATAGCTTGAGTTAACTCACTACGCAGAAATAACAAGGGGTATTAATTTAATGGGTACTTACGGGCGATGATTTAACTGAATGGAGTGCAGTCAATAATCCTCTAAGCGGTATTGTCCTTCGTCTAAGATGTCAGCACCATCCTGAAGAAACGGAAATAAAATAATTAATTAAATCACCAATGCGATGAAGCATGACCCTACAGAAATTTGTGTATGTGACAAATATACATCTGGTCGAATTAGGGTGAAGTTCTTTTTTGTCACCAATAATGTATGACTTACATAGTTACATCTCTTCTCGGATGTTGTTCTTCAAGTAAACTTCAAACTCTTTATGGATTCTTTCTCCTCTCCTAATGTTTCTTTAAAACAAAGCAAGAAAATATTTATAAAAAAGAAAGTAGACAACTGATGATGTCATATACAAACAGTTTGAAATTATCGAACTCTTTCTTTCATTCTGCAAACAAAATTGTAGAGAGTTCTGGTTGGTTGTCTGGTGCATTTTGAAACAAAATTTTCTGTCCGGGAACTGCACTTTTCCTGCCTCGACAAGCGACAAAGACTCCTAGAAAACCTCCATAATGTTTGAGCATTCAGCTCGAAATACTGATGATAGCAAACAGCAAACCATGAATTTTTAAACTTTTTCTTATCTTGTCAAGGTTTTTTTTCAAAGTTGTAATATTCTTCTCATCATTCTCGTTTAAGTCTATCGGTACTTGATTTTGAAGATCATAGTGTATTTTTCCTTGAATTCCAGCTTTCAAGTATATTTTGCTTCGATTTTCTGCCTTAGTTATTCATTAACATCTCTCGTCTGTCAAAGGTGTCAAACTCCAGTCTTAATGTGCTGCAAGTATCTGTATTCTCTGTTTTAGAATCATGTCTTTGTAGCTTTGGAGGTTTTGTTGTTCACATTGTTTTTAAATTTGTTCGTTCTTTCCCGTGGATATATTCATCTTGTTATACAAGTCAACATTCATTTGAAGATAGATGCTCTCATCTTGAACGTCGAGACAACAACCACAGCCCAATAAGGATGACGGCCTTCAACTGTCTGAAAAGTACTAAAGAATTATTTCACCTTGAATAAACCATGTGAAATACTCAGCCAGATTCAGCCTGAAGCATTGTGTTTTCCCGATAATCCCTCAAGGCAAATCAGCCGACAATAGCTTGAGTTAACTCACTACGCAGAAATAACAAGGGGTATTAATTTAATGGGTACTTACGGGCGATGATTTAACTGAATGGAGTGCAGTCAATAATCCTCTAAGCGGTATTGTCCTTCGTCTAAGATGTCAGCACCATCCTGAAGAAACAGAAATAAAATAATTAATTAAATCACCAATGCGATGAAGCATGACCCAACAGAAATTTGTGCATGTGACAAATATACATCTGGTCGAATTAGGTTGAAGTTCTTTTTTGTCACCAATAACGTAAGACTTACATAGTTACATCTCTTCTCTGATGTTGTTCTTCAAGTAAACTTCAAACTCTTTATGGATTCTTTCTCCTCTCCTAATGTTTCTTTAAAACAAAGCAAGAAAATATTTATAAAAAAGAAAGTAGACAACTGATGATGTCATATACAAACAGTTTGAAATTATCGAACTCTTTCTTTGCTTCTGCAAACAAAATTGTAGAGAGTTCTGGTTGGTTGTCTGGTGCATTTTGAAACATAATTTTCTGTCCGGGAACTGCACTTTTCCTGCCTCGACAAGCGACAAAGACTCCTAGAAAACCTCCATAATGTTTGAGCATTCAGCTCGAAATACTGATGATAGCAAACAGCAAACCATGAATTTTTAAACTTTTTCTTACCTTTCAAGGTTTTTTTTCAAAGTTGTAATATTCTTCTCATCATTCGCGTTTAAGTCTATCGGTACTTGACTTTGAAGATCATAGTGTATTTTTCCTTGAATTCCAGCTTTCAAGTATATTTTGCTTCGATTTTCTGCCTTAGTTATTCATTAACATCTCTCGTCTGTCAAAGGTGTCAAACTCCCGTCTTAATGTGCTGCAAGTATCTGTATTCTCTGTTTTAGAATCATGTCTTTGTAGCTTTGGAGGTTTTGTTGTTCACATTGTTTTTAAATTTGTTCGTTCTTTCCCGTGGATATATTCATCTTGTTATACAAGTCAACATTCATTTGAAGATAGATGCTCTCATCTTGAACGTCGAGACAACAACCACATCCCAGTAAGGATGACGGCCTTCACCTGTCTGAAAACTATTAAAGAATTATTTCACCCTGAATAAACCATGTGAAATACCCAGCCAGATTCAGCCTGAAGGATTGTGTTTTCCCGATAATCCCTCAAGGCAAATCAGCCGACAATAGCTTGAGTTAACTCACTACGCAGAAATAACAAGGGGTATTAATTTAATGGGTACTTACGGGCGATGATTTAACTGAATCGAGTGCAGTCAATAATCCTCTAAGCGGTATTGTCCTTCGTCTAAGATGTCAGCACCATCCTGAAGAAACGGAAATAAAATAATTAATTAAATCACCAATGCGATGAAGCATGACCCTACAGAAATTTGTGTATGTGACAAATATACATCTGGTCGAATTAGGGTGAAGTTCTTTTTTGTCACCAATAATGTATGACTTACATAGTTACATCTCTTCTCGGATGTTGTTCTTCAAGTAAACTTCAAACTCTTTATGGATTCTTTCTCCTCTCCTAATGTTTCTTTAAAACAAAGCAAGAAAATATTTATAAAAAAGTGAGAAAGTAGACAACTGATGATGTCATATACAAACTGTTTGAAAAAATTATCGAACTCTTTCCTTGCTTCTGCAAACAAAATTGTAGAGAGTTCTGGTGGGTTGTCTGGTGCATTTTGAAACAGAATTTTCTGTCTGGGAACTGCACTTTTCCTGCCTCGACAAGCGACAAAGAGTCCTAGAAAACCTCAATAATGTTTGAGCATTCAGCTCGAAATACTGATGATAGCAAACAGCAAACCATGAATTTTTAAACTTTTTCTTACCTCATCAAGGTTTTTTTCAAAGTTGTAATAGTCTTCTCATCATTCGCGTTTAAGTCTATCGGTACTTGATTTTGTAGATCATACTGTATTTTTCCTTGAATTCCAGCTTTCAAGTATATTTTTGCTTCGATTTTCTGCGTTAGTTATTCATTAACATATCTCGGATGTCAAAGGTGTCAAACTTCAATCTTAATGTGTTGCAAGTATCTGTATTCTCTGTTTTAGAATCCTGTCTTTGTAGCTTTGGAGGAGGTTTCTGTTGTTCACATTGTTTTTAAATTTGTTCGATCTTTCCCGTGGATATATTCATCTGGTTATATAAGTCAACATTCATTTGAAGATAGATGCTCTCATCTTGAACGTCGAGACAACAACCACAGCCCAGTAAGGATGACGGCCTTCACCTGTCTGAAAAGTATTAAAGAATTCTTTCACCCTGAATAAACCATGTGAAATACCCAGCCAGATTCAGCCTGAAGCATTGTGTTTTCCCAATAATCCCTCAAGGCAAATCAGCCGACAATAGCTTGAGTTAACTCACTACGCAGAAATAACAAGAGGTATTAATTTAATGGGTACTTACGGGCGATGATTTAACTGAATGGAGTGCAGTCAATAATCCTCTAAGCGGTATTGTCCTTCGTCTAAGATGTCAGCACCATCCTGAAGAAACAGAAATAAAATAATTAATTAAATCACCAATGCGATGAAGCATGACCCTACAGAAATTTGTGTATGTGACAAATATACATCTGGTCGAATTAGGTTGAAGTTCTTTTTTGTCACCAATAACGTAAGACTTACATAGTTACATCTCTTCTCTGATGTTGTTCTTCAAGTAAACTTCAAACTCTTTATGGATTCTTTCTCCTCTCCTAATATTTCTTTAAAACAAAGCAAGAAAATATTTATAAAAAAGAAAGTAGACAACTGATGATGTCATATACAAACTGTTTGAAAAAATTATCGAACTCTTTCCTTGCTTCTGCAAACAAAATTGTAGAGAGTTCTGGTGGGTTGTCTGGCGCATTTTGAAACAGAATTTTATGTCTGGGGACTGCACTTTTCCTGCCTCGACAAGCGACAAAGAGTCCTAGAAAACCTCAATAATGTTTGAGCATTCAGCTCGAAATACTGATGATAGCAAACAGCAAACCATGAATTTTTAAACTTTTTCTTACCTCATCAAGGTTTTTTTCAAAGTTGTAATAGTCTTCTCATCATTCGCGTTTAAGTCTATCGGTACTTGATTTTGTAGATCATACTGTATTTTTCCTTGAATTCCAGCTTTCAAGTATATTTTTGCTTCGATTTTCTGCCTTAGTTATTCATTAACATATTTCGGATGTCAAAGGTGTCAAACTTCAATCTTAATGTGTTGCAAGTATCTGTATTCTCTGTTTTAGAATCCTGTCTTTGTAGCTTTGGAGGAGGTTTCTGTTGTTCACATTGTTTTTAAATTTGTTCGATCTTTCCCGTGGATATATTCATCTGGTTATATAAGTCAACATTCATTTGAAGATAGATGCTCTCATCTTGAACGTCGAGACAACAACCACAGCCCAATAAGGATGACGGCCTTCACCTGTCTGAAAAGTATTAAAGAATTCTTTCACCCTGAATAAACCATGTGAAATACCCAGCCAGATTCAGCCTGAAGCATTGTGTTTTCCCGATAATCCCTCAAGGCAAATCAGCCGACAATAGCTTGAGTTAACTCACTACGCAGAAATAACAAGGGGTATTAATTTAATGGGTACTTACGGGCGATGATTTAACTGAATCGAGTGCAGTCAATAATCCTCTAAGCGGTATTGTCCTTCGTCTAAGATGTCAGCACCATCCTGAAGAAACAGAAATAAAATAATTAATTAAATCACCAATGCGATGAAGCATGACCCTACAGAAATTTGTGTATGTGACAAATATACATCTGGTCGAATTAGGGTGAAGTTCTTTTTTGTCACCAATAATGTATGACTTACATAGTTACATCTCTTCTCGGATGTTGTTCTTCAAGTAAACTTCAAACTCTTTATGGATTCTTTCTCCTCTCCTAATGTTTCTTTAAAACAAAGCAAGAAAATATTTATAAAAAAGTGAGAAGGTAGACAACTGATGATGTCATATACAAACTGTTTGAAAAAATTATCGAACTCTTTCCTTGCTTCTGCAAACAAAATTGTAGAGAGTTCTGGTGGGTTGTCTGGCGCATTTTGAAACAGAATTTTATGTCTGGGGACTGCACTTTCCCTGCCTCGACAAGCGACAAAGAGTCCTAGAAAACCTCAATAATGTTTGAGCATTCAGCTCGAAATACTGATGATAGCAAACAGCAAACCATGAATTTTTAAACTTTTTCTTACCTCATCAAGGTTTTTTTCAAAGTTGTAATAGTCTTCTCATCATTCGCGTTTAAGTCTATCGGTACTTGATTTTGTAGATCATACTGTATTTTTCCTTGAATTCCAGCTTTCAAGTATATTTTTGCTTCGATTTTCTGCGTTAGTTATTCATAAACATATCTCGGATGTCAAAGGTGTCAAACTTCAATCTTAATGTGTTGCAAGTATCTGTATTCTCTGTTTTAGAATCCTGTCTTTGTAGCTTTGGAGGAGGTTTCTGTTGTTCACATTGTTTTTAAATTTGTTCGATCTTTCCCGTGGATATATTCATCTGGTTATATAAGTCAACATTCATTTGAAGATAGATGCTCTCATCTTGAACGTCGAGACAACAACCACAGCCCAGTAAGGATGACGGCCTTCACCTGTCTGAAAAGTATTAAAGAATTCTTTCACCCTGAATAAACCATGTGAAATACCCAGCCAGATTCAGCCTGAAGCATTGTGTTTTCCCGATAATCCCTCAAGGCAAATCAGCCGACAATAGCTTGAGTTAACTCACTACGCAGAAATAACAAGAGGTATTAATTTAATGGGTACTTACGGGCGATGATTTAACTGAATCGAGTGCAGTCAATAATCCTCTAAGCGGTATTGTCCTTCGTCTAAGATGTCAGCACCATCCTGAAGAAACAGAAATAAAATAATTAATTAAATCACCAATGCGATGAAGCATGACCCTACAGAAATTTGTGTATGTGACAAATATACATCTGGTCGAATTAGGGTGAAGTTCTTTTTTGTCACCAATAATGTATGACTTACATAGTTACATCTCTTCTCGGATGTTGTTCTTCAAGTAAACTTCAAACTCTTTATGGATTCTTTCTCCTCTCCTAATGTTTCTTTAAAACAAAGCAAGAAAATATTTATAAAAAAGTGAGAAAGTAGACAACTGATGATGTCATATACAAACTGTTTGAAAAAATTATCGAACTCTTTCCTTGCTTCTGCAAACAAAATTGTAGAGAGTTCTGGTGGGTTGTCTGGTGCATTTTGAAACAGAATTTTATGTCTGGGGACTGCACTTTTCCTGCCTCGACAAGCGACAAAGAGTCCTAGAAAACCTCAATAATGTTTGAGCATTCAGCTCGAAATACTGATGATAGCAAACAGCAAACCATGAATTTTTAAACTTTTTCTTACCTCATCAAGGTTTTTTTCAAAGTTGTAATAGTCTTCTCATCATTCGCGTTTAAGTCTATCGGTACTTGATTTTGTAGATCATACTGTATTTTTCCTTGAATTCCAGCTTTCAAGTATATTTTTGCTTCGATTTTCTGCGTTAGTTATTCATTAACATATCTCGGATGTCAAAGGTGTCAAACTTCAATCTTAATGTGTTGCAAGTATCTGTATTCTCTGTTTTAGAATCCTGTCTTTGTAGCTTTGGAGGAGGTTTCTGTTGTTCACATTGTTTTTAAATTTGTTCGATCTTTCCCGTGGATATATTCATCTGGTTATATAAGTCAACATTCATTTGAAGATAGATGCTCTCATCTTGAACGTCGAGACAACAACCACAGCCCAGTAAGGATGACGGCCTTCACCTGTCTGAAAAGTATTAAAGAATTCTTTCACCCTGAATAAACCATGTGAAATACCCAGCCAGATTCAGCCTGAAGCATTGTGTTTTCCCAATAATCCCTCAAGGCAAATCAGCCGACAATAGCTTGAGTTAACTCACTACGCAGAAATAACAAGAGGTATTAATTTAATGGGTACTTACGGGCGATGATTTAACTGAATGGAGTGCAGTCAATAATCCTCTAAGCGGTATTGTCCTTCGTCTAAGATGTCAGCACCATCCTGAAGAAACAGAAATAAAATAATTAATTAAATCACCAATGCGATGAAGCATGACCCAACAGAAATTTGTGCATGTGACAAATATACATCTGGTCGAATTAGGTTGAAGTTCTTTTTTGTCACCAATAACGTAAGACTTACATAGTTACATCTCTTCTCTGATGTTGTTCTTCAAGTAAACTTCAAACTCTTTATGGATTCTTTCTCCTCTCCTAATGTTTCTTTAAAACAAAGCAAGAAAATATTTATAAAAAAGAAAGTAGACAACTGATGATGTCATATACAAACTGTTTGAAAAAATTATCGAACTCTTTCCTTGCTTCTGCAAACAAAATTGTAGAGAGTTCTGGTTGGTTGTCTGGTGCATTTTGAAACAGAATTTTCTGTCCGGGAACTGCACTTTTCCTGCCTCGACAAGCGACAAAGACTCCTAGAAAACCTCCATAATGTTTGAGCATTCAGCTCGAAATACTGATGATAGCAAACAGCAAACCATGAATTTTTAAACTTTTTCTTACCTTGTCAAGGTTTTTTTTCAAAGTTGTAATATTCTTCTCATCATTCGCGTTTAAGTCTATCGGTACTTGACTTTGAAGATCATAGTGTATTTTTCCTTGAATTCCAGCTTTCAAGTATATTTTGCTTCGATTTTCTGCCTTAGTTATTCATTAACATCTCTCGTCTGTCAAAGGTGTCAAACTCCCGTCTTAATGTGCTGCAAGTATCTGTATTCTCTGTTTTAGAATCATGTCTTTGTAGCTTTGGAGGTTTTGTTGTTCACATTGTTTTTAAATTTGTTCGTTCTTTCCCGTGGATATATTCATCTTGTTATACAAGTCAACATTCATTTGAAGATAGATGCTCTCATCTTGAACGTCGAGACAACAACCACATCCCAGTAAGGATGATGGCCTTCACCTGTCTGAAAACTATTAAAGAATTATTTCACCCTGAATAAACCATGTGAAATACCCAGCCAGATTCAGCCTGAAGGATTGTGTTTTCCCGATAATCCCTCAAGGCAAATCAGCCGACAATAGCTTGAGTTAACTCACTACGCAGAAATAACAAGGGGTATTAATTTAATGGGTACTTACGGGCGATGATTTAACTGAATCGAGTGCAGTCAATAATCCTCTAAGCGGTATTGTCCTTCGTCTAAGATGTCAGCACCATCCTGAAGAAACGGAAATAAAATAATTAATTAAATCACCAATGCGATGAAGCATGACCCTACAGAAATTTGTGTATGTGACAA